GTCAACTCAACATCCTACCATGGCACCGAAAGATCATCAGATTCCAAAGCCAAGTTTACGTCTAGAAGGACGAATATTGTTGGCCAAATGAACCTGACGAAAGATCATCAGATTCCAAAGCCAAGTTTACGTCTAGAAGGACGAATATTGTTGGCCACTGAAAATGAACCTGATAAAGAAGTGATCTTTGCTGAGTCTTCCACGAAGGAGACCATGTGCATCTTCACAGACCAGTCGACTCAAACGTTTGTAAGTTTGCAACCCCAAAGAATGAGGACAAGGTTGACTGCATACTGAATGTCTGTGAGTGGACGTCCCGAAATGATTGAAACCTCAAAGGTGTCAGAAGCAGGCAGGGAAGTCTCAAGCACCGTTTGAATAAAGAGCCGAAGGAAATTGATGAGCGAAGACCAGCTTGTCTTACATCACTGGACATCATCACTGATAGCAACATACCAGTAGTATGTGCAGGCGCTTGTGTGCCGTACTGGATGTTGTAAACTCGGGTGGTCTTCCATAACCAGCAAAAGTTTAAAAGTTTATATGCAACATATCTTATTAGGAATAAGAATTTGGTGGCATGATCCCCGGAAATTATCAGGTTCTAGCGTCAGAAGCGGTCTTCAAGTCAGGAAAAGTGTTTATTGTTGTTGTCGCTAGAAAAAATGCCGGTCCATCCGCAGAATGCTCTGAATGCATAGATGCATCCGAAAGAAGAGATAAGCTACTACCAGGCTGTCCAAGCCTAGACAGAAGGCGAAATGTGAGGCTGACTTTGGACCACTGACATTCCGGTTCACGTCTCAGCACTGAGTTATCCTGAGCTCAAAATGACACTTTACAAGTGCCTGTGACAAAACGCGGGTGAGGAGAATGCACCCACAATAAGGGAGGTTTCCGGCCAATACGCTGAGTGGTCGTTTCTTCCACGAATTTACCGTAACTCCGAGAATTGCATGCTTCGCTCTGCCACCTAGGTGTCGTTGGAATGGCTCACTTTGCATGCTGCAGCAAATCACCTTATTTGCTTGACGATGAAAAATCTCAAATTCCTAACCGTTCGGTTCGTGCCGATCCAAAAACGAAGTTTTTATACCCAAGTAATCTCAAGTTTATCAAAACTACTTAACAGTTCGAACGGCTTAATGTGGATTTTAAGGGGATCTATCCCGTCAGCGGCTTAAAACAAACACCTAAAATCACCATTCGCTTTATCATGCCAGGATACGATTTCTTATTCATCAAGTGTTTTCTAACTCTTCCATTTTTACATTCATTCCGACCATCTTTTCCCATGGTTGGAGTCATGTTCCTAAATCACGTACGGTAGTGAATCATCAGTGTCAACACTAATGTTGCTGTCTTTGATGATGATGATGATGATTATGATTATGAAGGGAATAGTCCAACGACAACCTCTAATCCCTAGGGAAATTGCCAGATTGAGGATCAATGGAACCTTGTGGAAAACTGCAGTACTGGTTGTGAAGTCACTCAGCCTATTGACCGGAAACTGGACAGTCCTGTAAGATGTACTGCATTTTACTCATTCCGTATTATGCACTGCGACAAATGCAGCTCCCCATACGCATCCATTTCCGTATAAACGGAAGTCCACTTCGGGTGACACTCTCAAACTGGATCGCTACCCTAATACCTGCGCCTATGAAGCAAAAGGGAAAACTGGATGTTATCTCATGTTAATGAACCACCTTTTGACAGCTGAATCTCTGTCGCACTCTTGAGGGTAACGGGATACTTGGGAATGCCTTTATAGAACTACTGAAACTTCTAAACAAGCGAATCACTAAGAAATCTTGGACCAGATACCATTCAGGTTCATTCCCATCGATCGGAATGACTGTGACACCATGCACCGTTCTTCAGGCAGAAGCAGTTAATGGTCTGAAAAGTGCATACGTTAAAATGTCATCCGCTGCTATTAATGTCATAGAAAGAATTTACCCCCGCTTCTTTTACCACATCGTGACTCACATTACTATCTTCACTAATAAATAACGTAGCTTTCGAGAAGGGTTCTCCAGCGCAACCATGTGGTGTCGCATAATGAGTTCGACAAGCACACTCCCATAGCTCCAGCGACTCCAACTCCCACCTTAACCCTTCCCCCTAAACTCCTTAACTAGTATTGGTCTTCCATATTCCGCCCCAAAGTGCTCAACATCTGAGCCAATTACTTGATAAGCATCTCCACTCGGTTTCTGCTGGTGTCGTCAAAATTTTCAAACCACTTCGCCAGCCTGATCTACAAGATAAGACCTAAGATAGTGTAGTTGGAGAAGAGACTCGAAGAGGACAATCAGGCAGCAACATCATTAAGAACAGGATGAAAGTATAGCTTTTCCAAACATCAAGAGTGGACTTAAAGTATCAGCAGGATCCTTATAACGCAGAAACCGAAAGTTGACGTAAGGATCAAATGATAAGAGCAAGGGAGACAACCAAGCTGAATGCAATCTAAGCTGCTTTGGACAGTGCCACACCAAATCCTGCTTGCAACACCTTTCCCATCAGACATCCTCACGTCAATCCGGAAGTGAGCCATCATCCATACCACTCGCAAAGGATGTCGTAACGACTCTCCCAGATATCACTTAGTAAGCATCCCCTGAGAGCTGATAACGAACATTGTCAAAGAAACGACCACCTCCCTTCCTTCCCAATAACCGACCGCATTCCGTGCAACACGATTCATGCACAGTATTTGGAGCTTAAAACTTTTAGGCACCAGCATTCGTCAACAAACAAGCCCATCTCCTTATCCACTCACACTCCTGACCTCGCTCCTTCTGTATGTGTTCCTGTGAAGGCCACGAATATAGTCGACGAACCACAACGACTCTCCCAGATATCACTTAGTAAGCATCCCCTGAGAGCTGATAACGAACATTGTCAAAGAAACGACCACCTCCCTTCCTTCCCAATAACCGACCGCATTCCGTGCAACACGATTCATGCACAGTATTTGGAGCTTAAAACTTTTAGGCACCAGCATTCGTCAACAAACAAGCCCATCTCCTTATCCACTCACACTCCTGACCTCGCTCCTTCTGTATGTGTTCCTGTGAAGGCCACGAATATAGTCGAGCTGACGAACCATTCTTTCCCGCTTAGCTTACTCGCTTTCATTCATTCCGCACTGTAGCCAGGTGCGGATACCATGATCACCAATACTGCATGATACCCAAAGCAGCGCTGACAAAAAAGTTGGAGCCCTTCACTATCCGTAATCTGCTCACCAACCAATGATACCGACTCCGCAGATGCCTTATTTGCACTCATAACATCTTCGTTTTTTACTTTCTCCCAGAATACCAATACCACTTGCGTGGTCTTCCAGAGATGGTAATCTGGTAGCCTCGGTTGTAGAAAACTTTTGGAGGCAGCTCCCCTCAATCTGCAGTCTATTCACTTCCTCAAGCAAAGTATCGACCGTTTCCACTAGCTTTGGCCTCCATAGAGCTTTATCCATAGTAAATCGCAAACGTGAGGTCCGGAACAAGCCACCACTGTTGTCCCCAACTTCATTAGCCCTTACAGGGATGCATATATTGTCCACCCACTTAGTCACATAAAATACCGACATAACTGCGTCGATGTCCCACACAGTGAGAGCTTTACATTAATAAATCATTCAGCTCTAACAACCTCCCGGTGCCTAGCTGCCATGCCACCCGAAGGAAGCACGAGGGCTGGGATACTGTCAGGTTGCCCAAGCCTAGACAGGGGAAGTCGAGAGGCGGAGGTCGGGTTCGAACCACGGACCTTCCGGTCAGTAAATGCGCGCTCTAGCCACTTGAGCCATCTCAACCTCAGATTTATAATGCTTAGCTGTTCTCACAATATATGGCGCGAATTTACCGACCGGAAGGTCCGTGGTTCGAACCCGACCTCCGCCACTCGACTTCCCCTGTCTAGGCTTGGGCAACCTGACAGTATCCCAGCCCTCGTGCTTCCTTCGGGTGGCATGGCAGCTAGGCACCGAAAGGGCGCTACAGCTGAACGATATTACTAATCAAACCACACCCAGCATTGCAAACGAAGAGCCGCCTCTTTTATTTTCACCCACCCGCTCCGAATATGCACAGAACCAACAATCACTGTTCAAACCCCACCAGCCTTTGAGTCTCCATTCAGACTTAAATCTAGACAGGGGAGAAATCGTTCAGCTGTAACACGCCTTCGGGGCCTAGTTGCCGCACCACCCCAAAGGGAGCACGATCGCTGGGATACTGCCAGGTTGTCCTAGCCTAGACAGGCACTCGTGTTTCCTTCGGGTGGCATGAAAGCCAGCCACCGAAAGGGCGTTGAAGTTGAACGATTATTATGATTATCTAGACTAGACAGGAAAAGTCGAGATGCAGAGGCCGGGTTCGAACCACAGGCCATCCAATCGGTAAATTCACGCTCTAACGACGAGTAACCTCACCCCCACCCAACCTAGACAAGAGCCAGTAGGGATCATGTACATGCGAGTACTGCTGCAGTCGAGGGTGAATGAGTGAAGCGTATGGGGACCACGGACTAGACAAAGCAGTGGTCAGTGACCATGACAAATATGGCTGCCATACAGCAATGGTGTCTTCGCATTGAGGTTATAACCTTCACTGCCTCTGGACAACGTGCAGATATGCCCATCACCGGTAGCCGTTCCAGTGCAATCAGACGGTTCGGGGCAACCAGGTATACGGAAAATTATGTTCGAGCGTGCGCCGCTGCTCACTCCTACAAGATAGCCACTTACCTGTAACACCCTGGCGATGCAAGACCGCCGTGCCACCCTAAGGAAGGGCTGGGATAATGTCCTCAGCATGGACGACAGTAGTCGAAATTCAGGGTGGATGATAAAAATAATATTCGTTCAACTGCAACACATTTTCAGTGTCCAAATGTCACGCAACCCGAAGGAAGCACGATGGCTCGGATAATGCCAGGTTTGCCAGGCCTAGAAGTCAAGAGGCAGAGGTCGAGTTCAAACCACGAATCCTCCGGTTCGTAAATTTACGCTGTTAACCAGTGAGCCATTTCTCCCCAGGGGGTGGTTTAGAACAGCGGAACTTCCGGCAGTTGATCAGCTTTCCTAGGTCTACGACTGATATAGTACACATGATAAAGCTGCATTTTCTATGCTGTTGGAGCTTACTTCAGCTGACTGCGTTGGTTCCGATTTGCCATGCACCTGCCACACTCGATGTCTTGCACGCGGCACAAATTTCACTTCTGTGCCCATCCAGGGTGCACCTCTTATCGCGGCTGCGAACACTTCGTCGGAGCGAATCTCTGGCAACCAGTTTGTCTAGCAGTGAACCCAGACCAAACCAATATTCCTTTTGAATATATTCATGATATTTTCGTGTCAATCTCGTCCAGGTGCACTCCATAGCGCCTTTGCTCTTACAAGCTCATTGCTTTTCAGGTCGTGTATTAAGCCCAGAAAATATATGGGGTGCGCAGGTTGTCCAGGTTTACATTCCGGCAAAGCGTAGCATGACTATCCCCGCCGGGGATAATTCATTTATAATTTCTTTATGTCACTCGATTTCCCGATGATCACAAAATCAATCAAAGGCAATACCTGGGCAATCTTAAACCTTGTGGCTTGTTTGGCATACTGTAAAAGACCAGGGTTGTGGTGTGGCACAAAAGACGCTCCCCATAGAATCATTTCGACTTCCCAGTCAATTTCTCTGGTAAATGTGGCCAAGATGGCAATGACTGAACAAAGAAAATCAAAAGCCGGGTTTGGGTTCGAACCAGGGCCTTTCAATCAGCAGGCTCGCATTTTAACCACTGGGTTGATCCTGTAGGAAAACTGTATTCTCCACTATCACCTCATTTGTTCCTATGCCACGAGCATGGCACATCAAACCAGGCATCCATCTCCGTGCGCAGTGTACCACTGAAGGAAATTGCTCCAACAGGAGCCATGTTTCACTTATGCCAACAACTTGGAAGGCATTTGCTGACGCACTCACTTTCCGTACGTCAGTAATAGTGCCACATACATTGATAAATTCTGCCTGGATGGTGACTCCCAGTTCATTAGCACCACTTCCTGATTAACGATGAACAGATAGACCGAAGGACAAGGTCGTACCTTGTATGTCATTCTGGATCTCGTTCCGTTCAAACCATCCGCATAAAAAAGCAGGAATNCTGGAAGATAAAAAAAATAATCTACGCTAGATGTTGGTTCACAAGGACTGGAATTCAACAAGATGACCGCCAGCGAGAGAGAGATAAAGGCAGTAACTGACTGTTATAAGAGTGCGTCATGGAAATTCACTGAATGCTCTCATTACTGACGTTACGTTCGTTTGCCCGAAAGGCACCAGGAGACTGAATTCATGCCAAGCTTTCCATTCCATGCAATATCGTTTGCTTCCTTTAGCAAATTTCCCAATGGAGTTCAATGCAGTTCCGAAACCTGCAGCCATCACGCTTCTACAAATTCAAACGGTTGCATCACCAAGGTCACGTCATGCACTGCACACCAAGACGAACTCAGTTCACGGATTCACGGATTGACACACAGGATCGAGGCTTTTGCCCAAGTTTCCCGGGTCGGTTTTGTTCTTGTCGGCCAGTGGCTGTCGTTCACCTGAAAGGCACAAGCAAAAAAAGGGTGTAGTACTGCTCTTTATGTTCTCAGCGTGGGGCAGTATGCTCGCCAGCACGAGAATTCACATACATAAATGTCTGATAGTGCTTTAAATTGGGTTCGAGAAGGAGCGTGTACAACCGTCGGAGGAAGGTCATTCCACGCAGCTACTACCCGAAATGAAAAAAATTTTTGTCTAATGAATGTGTGCGCCCTGAGCTTGGAAATTTTCTTACTATGTCCCCGCCGGGTGTTTGCTGGGTCAACGGTAAAAAACCTGTTTGCCAAGCTTTGTTTAAATAGGGCGTAAGTAAGAATTAGGTCCCCTCGGAGTTCACCTGAAGCCAATGGATCCATGGATTTCCATGGATTGATACACGGGATCGAAGATTTCTCCAAAGCTTTCCGGGTCAATTTTGTCTTTTACGTTCACAGGCTTTCGTTCAGCCGAAAGGCACAAACAAAAAAGGAATGTACCACCGCTCTTAAAGTTCACAGCTTCGAGTTAATTGTCATGGTGGAGAGGTGGACGTGTTGGATGACAACCAGCTTCGTTTTGCTTCTTTTTTGCTGTTTATATTAGTAACTTCTTTTTTAATGTTCCTAAATTACGACAAAAGCGTTTGCAAAGTTCTCACGGACGACATGTCGACGAATTTTTTTATTCAGAGCAAGTCGCCAGCCAAGTTTCCGGCACGAACCTCCAATTGGACGGCGCCAGCTTGAGAGAACCAGGACATCAGGTCGTTTGCAAGAGGTAGACATTGACTTGAAAGCGCGTCTGGAATGTCGCGGACGCAGACCAGACCTAAGGCATAGCCTTGAGTAATCTCAATGAGGAAGAAAGCATAGGAGTAGTTTTACTTTCGAAAAGATTGATGTGTATTACAAGAAAGCCCAAATTCGGCGTAGAATTCCTCCTTGAATCCCATAGGACCCGGTTTTGTGGAGCGATGGGCCGTGTAGGTCCCGGCAAGTCAAAGTATATGGCATGAGAAATGGGTCCTTGGTCTTTGGCTTCAGTTAAACTGTCAATAAATACAAGCAAAATCTCGGCAGGTCTTGGCATCTATTCGAAAGCAATATTTGATTATCACTGGGACCGGCGCCGTCAAACGAGTGATTAGTGTGTGCTCTTTATGCAGGCGAAGGTTCGCACAGCTCGGTACACAAATGATGACTCCATTACCGGCAGACATAGTGGGAGTGGGTTGGTGCCCTTTCGAGTGCGTGGGGGTGACTGCGCTGGAAATATCATATTGTTAGTTATGAGATGAACTAAACTGATCCGCGTCACAGTGCGCCCCACTGCATAGCGGAGGGTATTAGTGTGACCAATAGACTTGTAGCTGCTGAACGATGTGGTCTAAGGATTTGTCTATTTGTGCAGCACTGGCGTTCTCCAGAAAAGAGGGAAGTTTGACTTCGTAGGGTGACTCCTGAAACATCGAGCACAAATGCTTTGCTAATGTGAGCCTTGTTGTCATCGGGATCCTTGGATGGACTTAATCTAACAAACATTGGATTTGGTGAGGCCGCTGGGGCAGGATACGGGGCAGCTTAGTGTACTGTAGAGGCCTCAGATGACACTTTTGGGTCATTCTGGGGTTTCCCTCAAGAAGAAGGTACTTGGATTGTTTCTTGGGCAGCGCTTCATGCAACGAAATAGTGCATTTTGCTGTACATGCCGATATCTAATGTTGTGGTCCCTTTTACTATGTTCTATTCGTAGATACCCAACTGAAAGCTGGTTTATTCGGGAATGATACCGAGTTATCTTTGAGAATTTTCCGGGCAAGGACCCTGTACGTCTCACTGAAGCTTGTCTCTGTCAAGCTAAACACAGAAGATATGCAACCCTGACATGCAAGTATTGCAGTTTAGAACCCATGTATGAGGGTCCAGGTTCTCGACAGGGAACAAGGCGATGTCGAAAGTCGGAATAGTGTGGTCACTTTGTTCTCCAAATAGCACTTGACCACTTGCTTTCCGTGGATGACAACCGAAAATAATGCTCGTGGTAATTTACCTGCGCGGTATCCGGTAGGTCTCAGGACAAGCCGAGTACAAGTTCCCGCTTAATAACTCTGGCAAGTGGCGCTGAAGAAGGCTCACGTGACCCGATCCGCTGGAACTCTATGCAGGAGTGGCCCCCGGGAAGACCGAGGGAAAGCACTTAAACGATGAGCGACTCTGCTCACCCTTCCGTGTTCCTAGCCAGTTAAAAAATGAAGTAACATTTTATCAAGTTCCATAAGTCAGAAATGTTTGTTGTGGACTAGGATATGCAGACACTATTGCGGACGGTTGTTCAGCGTATGCTGACTGCTGAATGAAGAGAACTGTGCTGAGAAAACGGGCAGTTTCTGAACCAGCACTTCAACGACGTGTGGTGCGTCTGATAATAGGGTCCTTTGACGGGGCGCACAACCAAGCGGAATCCCACCCAGTTTCATACACGCCATATCCAGATGGTACCGGGCGTGCCGTTACGGTAAAAAAATGTCCATATGCGCTTTCAGTAAGATGTGTCAGTTTGTATGCGATTCAATATATTGGCTTTTGAACTAATTA